GAACCGGGATGCCCTGCGCACGGTCACTCATGCGCTTGTCCCGTCCTGTCTGGACTACTGCAGCACTCTCTACATGGGGCTCCCCCTGAAGAGCACTTGGAGGCTCCAGCTGGTCCAGAATGCGGCCGTGCGGGTTGTTATGGGGGCGACTCGGCGCTCCCATGTAACACCCCTCCTGCGTGAGCTGCACTGGCTCCCAGTGGTCTTCCGAGTGCAATTCAAGGTGTTGGTGACCACCTTTAAAGCGCTCCATGGCTTAGGACCAGGGTATATACGAGACCGCCTTCTGCCACCAACAGCCTCCCACCGGCCAATATGCCCCCACAGAGAGGGGCTCCTCAGGGTGCCATTGGCCAAACAATGTCGACTGGCGACACCCAGGGGGACAGCCTTCTCTGCGGGGGCACCGGCTCTCTGGAATGAGCTCCCCCTAGAGCTTCGTCTTAGCCCCAACCTGCGTGCCTTTCACCGCGCCCTGAAGATCCTTCTGTTCCAGCAAGCCGGACTGGCCTAATATGAATTTTTAAGGGGTGTGTGTATGTTTTAAATGTTTTAAATTTTTGAGCCATTTTATATATTTGATTTTAATTGCTTTTAAACTTTGTAATTCTATGTATTTTAATATGGCTGTACACCGCCCTGAGTCCTTCGGGAGAAGAGCGGTATAGAAGTCTAATTATAAATAAATATAAAATAAATAAATTTCAATCAAATCAAAGGAAGCAATTTTTTTCTTCATCTAGAAGAAATTTAAGAGTTTGTCGTTCCTGTTTCAAAGTATCTCTCACAGGCTGTAACTGTAATAGGCAGAAAAATACTAATGAAGTAAATCCTCAGTGCAAATAGAGATAGTCCTCAGGAGCCGTGGTAGTACAGTAATTAGAAGTAGTTCTGCAGGCTACTTCTGCTGACTGCCGGGCTGCCAGCAGTTCGGCAGTTCGAGTCTCACCAGCTGAAGGTTGACTCAGCCTTCCATCCTTCCAAGGTGGGTAAAATGAGGATATGCAATATGCTGACTCTGTAAACCACTTATGGAGGGCTGTAAAACACTGTGAAGTCTATATAAGTCTAAGTGCTATTGCTATTTATCAACCACATGATCATGAGTTGCTGCAACCATCAGGACTGTGATCCAGTTGCTAAGCACCTAAGCACCATTACATGACCAGGGGATGCTGCAACAGCTGGAATTTGAGGACTGGTCATAAGCCCTTCTTGTTCATCACTGTCATAAGTTTGAACAGTTGCTGAATGAGTGCTCATAACCTAAGGACTACCTGTAAGCATTTGGTGAGCTTTATAGAAGTGTACATTAATTAAATACTTGTTCTAGTTTCAAACTGCCATACCAAAGTAAAAATCTAGCTATTACTTTCAGATTCCTGTCTCTCTTAGTGTGCAATTTACAAATCAACTCTTGTAGTTTCTTAGATTCCAAGGAAATAGAGAAATTCAGACTGAAAAGTTAGTCTACAGTTTTCAAGATAGCGGCGCGTATAGATGCTGCGGCTTTGAGCTCCTGGTGTCACAGTGATTGCACCAGTGAGGCTAAAGCCAGTTTTGTTGTATACATGATGTACAATGACAATAAAGGCTATACTACACTTTGAAACAGATTTCTACCTCCTTTAACAGCTCCCAGTGTTGCCTGACCAAGAATTTGGGCTCCTTTAGAGAGAAATGTTTATCAGACCAGAGCAGGACTTTATTAAAAGGGGTTTTAATTGAGGGTAAGCAAATTTCTCCTCATTTTAAATGAATGGGGATTTATAGATTTTATTGGGATAAGGAGAAATGAAGGATAGTTTTGTGCGAAGTATTTCTTGGCTGTAAATTGGTTGGAATCTTAGTATCTTGAGTGATATAAAATTATAAATACGTAAGTAAGTAAGTAAGTAAGTAAGTAAGTAAGTAAGTAAGTAAGTAAATAGCCCAGAATATTCATTAGTTGCCTGAGGAGATAATTCAGCCATTTCTATTCTAATCACTAATGGTTTGAATTGTTTTGTGTTTTTTGAATTTGTCTATTCCATTTTTCAAACCATCTGTGATGATATATATCACTGTATTTTATATTATGTTTCAATTGTATTTTAATTATGAGAAATGCAAAGAAGTCTTCCAATAAAACATAAGAGGAAAATCCAGAACTTTGCTCCAATTTGAAGCTGAAATTTCTTAAAATCAATGAAATTTCCCAAAGCCTTACTTTTTTATACATTAAAAATATGTATAAAGAGAATACGGACCTATGCTGCTACCTTGAAAGTTGGATTATTTTATCCTTTCTAAATGATTTAGGGTTATTCAAATATCCTCCTAATCATGGTGGAGAGAAGCCTCATCGAACCATTAAACTAATTATACTAAGCTCATTAAATTACATTAATTTAAATTAAATTAATTACTCGTTAAATTATACAGACAGGGCAAGCTATTCTATGTAAACAGGGAGCAAACCGTGCACTTACAGGCACTGATGATATTACCCAGTCAGGTAATGAAACTGCCAAACTCATGGAGCACCAAGGACTCCTCATTAAACCATTTGTCAAAGACACAAGATTGTAATCAACCTGCTTTGGCCTGTTGTGAAGGCAGCTCCACCCATCTTTTGTTGCTCTATTTCAAAAGTGGTATTTCCACTTCAGCAAAACAACTCTAATGCTCCATTCCAATTGGACAGTGTACTCTGCTGCAAGTATAGTCCCCCCCCCCACTTCATTGTTGGCTGCCGTTTACAGCCATTTCATCTTGGACTGTTGGCATGTCTGCTTTCCCCACCCCCCAGGATAAATCCTTCCTATGTAAAGTCTAGACATGATTTTCATTAGCATAGGGCCTGCGGATGTCTTTTTACAAAAAACGTTCTGAGAGTCCCGATCACTCTGACTTGAAATGTTCTTTATATGTTTGAAAACACTCTGTCAACTCTCAAAATGAGTTTAGCTGATGCCATATTCTTTTTACTTCTTAGTTGCCATACATACTGTATGGGGGGAGGGGGAACTATTGGGTGTGGGATAACTTCCTCCCAGGTGCCAGACATAACAGTGATAAGGCCCATAGGAATCAAGGTCGCCTCAATGAGAGCTCGTAATGACTGGAGGGAGTAGCTGAGCAGCCCACCAGCCGCCTGGTTGGTTAACGTGACGAGTGACACTAGGGGGGAGAGTGATATCTATTTCTTTTATTATAACAAAACATGGGAAATATTTAGAGTTGGTTTCACATTTGAAAGTGCTGATATCATGTACCCAATAAAATGGATCTTTGAGAAAAGCCACAGCCTCAGAGTCTGGAATTGATTAGGCCCATTATTTGGAACCATGACACACTCATGTTTTGGAACTCTGTGAGGCTAGTTCCTATATGTGCCACAGGATAATTCAAGAATTCCAGTCTATGTACATGGATAATATGACAGTTGCTTTCACATGATTGACCCTTTGTGTCAATGCAGAAAGGCAGTATCATTCTGCCTATTCTAACACAATTTTGTATACTCCAAGGGATACCTCTTAACTGTTAGAGCCACTTTCTGCCAGCATTTCTCCCAATATTTGAGATATTTGGGAACTGGGATGAAATTGACAAGAGGTTTGCTGGTCAGTCCTCCTAGTCCAAATGATGAAAAAGAATAGTAAACCTATCTAGCAGTCTGCTAGATGACTGATTAACCTTTGGCCAAGAATATCTCAGCTGACAGAATAACAGATTGGATGATAGCTGGGAGATTCATCCACCACAGTGATCTTTCAGTTGAGATAATTTGAGGCAGAGGTTTATCAGTGAAGATTGGTAGATAGATTTACTGTTCTCCCTGTCACTTTGGCTTACAGAACACCAGTAGAACTGAGTTCAGAAATAGTTGAAGTGATAAATTACTGGTGTGGAACATTGCTACACCTCCATTTGTACAACTTGTCATTTGGGGAACCTGTGTACTTGGGTAACTTATCACTTGAGCAACTTGAAAATTGCCCTCCTTCAGGTACCCTTCTCAGACACCCACTCTTTATCCTACTCATATTTGGCCATGGCAACTTTGCCAGACTTTAAAAACAGTGATTAGTGTCAGAGGAGAAATAAGCTGGAGAATCTTGCTACAGGTGACATGTGAAGGGAGGAGGGAAAGATGAAAATGGTTCTAGTAGTGCCAGCATACTAATTGTATGGAGTGATAACTCTGTGGAAGAAAGAACTGAGACCCAACCATTTATGAATTTTCTGCTGCCAGTACTGGAGGCATTCCTCATCTTGTTTCTGTCCTCTTCCTAGCTTCTTGTCTGTATAGGAGCCCTGTATTCTTACTGGACAGTCACATTTGCACTCTCTACTGATACATTTCAAAGTGCTACACAAAGTGCTGGTTATTATCTATATAACTTATATGACTCAGAGCCAGGGTATCTTTGAGATCATCTATCCCATAAATTCCAATCCAGGGGCACATAGAAAGCCTGCTGAAGGACTCCACAATGGAGGTGCAATGCGACAGAGGGGTGGGGGGGACCTAAAACAAACAATTTTTGCGAGGGTCCCTTTCTTTGGAACAACTTGCTCTCTTTGACAAATATAACTCCTATTTTTTCTAGAAAATGGTAAACAAAAATTGGCTGAAAAAAGGACTTGGGGATTTGAGTGCTGTAGAGTTTCTGGAGCTGGGGATGTATTAATTATAATTTTTGAACATAATTATATATTGTATTTTTTGCAATCTACAGTACCCCCCCCCATTTTTCTGAGCCCCCCTCTAGCTGTCTGTTGATCTTGCATGTATAGATCTCAAAAAGTAAGAATTAGTGAGCAGTCCCTATCTTCTCCAACTCACTCTTGTGATAGCATTATAGAGCTAGCCTCCTTGGGTACTATAGCATGGTTGTTTGAAGTGTGTGTGTGTATGTGTATGTATGTATGTGTGTGTGTGTGTGTGTGTGCGCACACACACACACACACATATATATATAGTTGGAAAAACTGATTATGCCTCAAAATAGTTGAATACTGTAATATCTTTCAGTTTAATTACATATTTTTTTACACAATGATGTAGGACAAGATATAAACCAGCCTTTCTGAAAACCAAATAATTTCGTTTCACAGCATAAAAAATGCAAACCATAAGTCCATTCCAAAGATATTGCCTGGGTTTACTATTTATGCAATTGTTTTTAATGAAAGCCGCAATGGGTGATAGAATGGGGCTTTCTTCTGATTCAGATTCCTTCTTCCTGAGAGAAAAACAAACAAAACAAAAATTGCAGGAGAACTCAATAATTTTAAAATGTGCTGTGAATCCTCATAAGCAGTCTCTGTGTTGATTTGAAGATGGACCTGGCTCTTGGTTGATGTCAGGACAAGTAAAACTTTCCTGGCATTTTATTTTGGCAGAGTGCATCATTGAAGATATATCGAGGACAGAAACCGCTTGATACTCCATATGTTGGTGAATCATATCTCCCATTGTAGTTCAGCAACACTTGGAAGACCACAAGCCACTTACTCTTGGATTACATGAATTCTGCAGATTCTGAAACCTTTATGGTTCTGTTTTGTGAAACACTGGATGGCTGTGTTTCTGTCCAGCTGACAAAAAAACCGCATTTGAATATGTTCCAGATATCTGCTCTTCCAGTTTCATTCACAAAACAGTAAAGAATTGGGTCGGCTATACAATTTATGCTTGTTAAGGCTGTTGCAATTCTATAAGGTACAAATAGAGACTCAACATAAAAGCATTCACCTGGTTCCAAGATACTGCGTAGAAGTAGGACAATGTGATATGGAGTAAAGCAAAGAAAAAAGGTTATGATGATGCCTAGTAATAAATGATTGATTTTCTTCTTGTCGCAGTCTTGAGTTGCTTGATTATGCTTCACAGCCTGATATATTTTGAGGTAACAGAAGATCATGACAGCTAATGGGAATGCATACCCCACACAGATGCGGTAATAATTGAAGTAAGCTTGCCATTTTTGTAGAGGATATGTGTCATAGCATGAAACATGCCTGGTTTTATCTGCAACTTCGTAGTAGAAGTTTGTTCTCCATAAAATCTGGAAGTTTGACATTATTTCAAAAGCCCAAACTAAAAAGGACATCAGCAGGGCAAATCTTCTTGATCGCAAAGACTGGAACCTCAAAGGATGAACTATGGCTAAGTACCTATCCAAGGAGATGCAGGTAAGAAATCCTGAGCTGGTGTAATAATTTAGATATTGAAGAAAAGCAGATAACCTACAAAGCTGTAGAGAGAAGGTCCAGTCATCCCCGTTTTGAGCATAATAAATCCATAATGGTAGCGTCATTGTGTATAATAGGTCGGCTAATGATAAACAGAAGAGATAGATGCCCAGCTCATTTTTTTTCTGGATTTGACAGTAGGAAATGTAAAGTGATAATAGATTAGCAGGAATGCTGATAATCATCAGGATGCTGTAGAAAAAAGGAAACAATTTTGTATCTAGTTTGTCATAAAAGCTGCAGTTAAGATTATAGCTAATGTTCATTGTTAATACCGGCTGAGTCAACTGGGAAGGAAAAGCACAGACGATTATGTATTTTTCATGGCTTTCATAGGTGGAAAGCAAGAGAGACGATCAGAGATTCCTGTTCTTTGGATTATAACTGTTCAATTAAAAATTCCATCACTTAGCCTGCAAGATAAAAAGAAAACAGCCAATAGGTTATTGAGCTACTTTGAGAAAGAGAACTTTCACAAAATTTCAAAGCATTTTTTTAAAGTGATGAAATAATAATATGTCCTCCCCTCCATCCCAACCTGGCAGATGGCTTCAAATCTATTTCTTTCCTTTTTAAAAATAATGTATTAAGTGAACAAAAAGCTGGATTGACTATTGAACTACATAAAGGATTGGCTACACAAAAAGGCAAGAAAAATCTCTGAGAGGAAAAAAAACCCGCTAGTATTATATATTCTCCTATGCTTTGGCAGTACTCAGAACCACATATAAGAAGAATCAGAACAGCAATGAAAAGTTTTTTAGCTGCATTGAGTCAAATGGGAGAAGACATACAAGCAAAATAGTCCCATAGACTGCAGGTTCTTCTTCCTTGAGCTAAAGTTTCTGATGGCGGAAGAATAACTGTTTGTCTCAACTATCTCTATAATAAATGTGCTATTGCTTTAATTTTGACTTCTGCACTAAGCAATGTTTTGGACGATGGCCTAAATGTTCTTTTCCAACTCAAGGGATACAATGATTCTACTAATTGTTGCTGCATTTCACCCCAAATGTCATGTATAACGTGTGCTATGTATAATTATACCCCAATATATTCATGTGACTTCCTTTTTGTTGTTATCTATTACTAAATGTCTGGACTAGACATCTTTCGTTTCCTCTAAGACCAAATATGTCTTAATGCAACCTAGACAATGTATACGTAGTCTAAAAGTATAAAAGCAACACCTCTGTACACCCTTCGGGGTTCAGACAATTTGCTGTGTTAACTGCTGTTTGAACCTTATGCATAATAAACCTTTCCTGCATTGAAGTGCTTGGTCTGGTCCCGTGATTTTCCTACAACAACAGGAACTAAAAGAAAGTGTTCAGAAGGGCCAGGAAGGAAGGTGGGCAGGGTTTGTAGACATCAATGTGTAAGCATTTGTCGCTCCAGAATTGGCATATTCTGAAACAAATGTACAAGCTGGAGAAAAATGGTCATTTCCAAACAGCTCAATATTGTGAATTTGTTGAAAAAAGTTGTCTTTGCTAGGGTGGCATCAATTAATGTTATCTGGAAGCAACCTTGAAATATTAACACAGTGCTATTATGGAGATTTACTGCTTGATTTGGCTTCTAATAATTTTCAGCCTAGTAACATTAATTCCACTTAATATAAGCATAGTTTACTTTTTTGCTACCCCCCCTTACAAATCATCAAACCGTTAAATTGGAGGTGACCCAAGAGGTCATCAAGTCCAACCTATCCCAAGCTAGTGCAGGATTCACTACACCATCCCTGATAGATGACTATATATCCTTTATTTGAAAACATCCAGTAAAGAAACTATTCCATGAGTTAAACTATTCCACTGATCGATAGCTATGACTATCAAGAAGTTCTTCCTAATATCTAATCTTCATCTACTTCCTTGTTTTATCCCATTCATTCTAGCCTTATCTTCTAGAAGAAGTGAGAATAAGCTCAAATCTTCTACATTTTGATAGACCTTCAATTGTTTGAAGACAGCTATCATGTTTCCTCTCAATCTTCTTTTCTAAACATATCTAGTCTTTTAACTGCTCCTTGTAGATTTCTAGTCCTCATGGTAGGCCTTCTCTTGACTTACTCCAGGTTATCAATGCCCCCTTTAAAACAGGGGTGTGCAGAAAAGAACACAATACTCTGTGATGTCTGACTAAGGCAGGGCAGACTGAAATAAGTATTTTCCACAATCTGAATTGTGTGTCACTCTTGATCTTCAAGGTGTTGCTGGCCTTCACAGCTTCATTACACTGTAGATACAAGTTGAGTTTGTGATCTAATAGTGCAACCAAATCCTTCTCACATGTGCAAGGGAAGATTTTCCTTGTTCTGTATATGTTTCTTTTGTTGTTTTTACCTAGATGCATGATTTTATATTTCTATGTATTACATTTCATTATATTTGTTTCTGCTCATTGTTTCTCCCCCTGTCCTGCCAATTATTAACCAATCCTCCTAACTCTGTATCATCAGCAAATTGGGTAAGCATTCCCTCAAATCCATATCATTTACAAAAACATTGAACCATATTGAACCCAGGACAGAACACTATAGCACGTTGCTTGAGCTGCCTCTCCAGGTAGATTTGATGCCATTTATAACCACCCTTTTAGTACAATCCTTGAGCCAGTTGTGAATCCACCTAATAGCACATTGTTATCATTTTTTAAATAAGGATGCTATGAAAAACTTTGTCAAAAGATTTGCTGAAATCTAAATACTCTATATCTGTGGCAACATAACCAACCAGCCTATAGGACTGAAGAGTTTTTGTAGCCTGTCAGTCACATCCTGATTTGGAATTTCTGGAAAGCAACATACAGTACCTCACACAATGTCTTGTCAAGTCTATATAGAGCAGTTTCGGAACTTGACTAGTCAATTTAGTTGTGTTTATGGTCTTGTTTTCTTGTTTACTCATCTTAGTAATCTTTAGAAATTATTGCATATCACTTGATACAAGGTAGTCTTTCACTTATGACTACAATCAAGATCTGAAACTTCAGTCATTGACCAAAGCAGTCATTAAACAAGATGTCATTTGATGTCATCCTGGTTGAGGTTGTTAAGTGATTTTTTGGGTCGCTAAATGAATGGAGCCAAAGAGTTCCTGCTAGAGGGACTCAGTCCCATGTGGAGCTGAATCCCTCCAGCAGGCAACCCTGTTGCTCTCAAAGGGGCTGTCTGGAAAGCTCCATCCAAAATCCAAGCAAGATTTTTTACACAGCGTGTTTGCAGCATGGAGAGTTTACAGCACAGGGTATTTGGAGCCTGCCCTTAGAGAGAAGAAGTCTCCCTCTGGTTTGGGAGGGAGAGGTTGGTTGCAAATGCCCTGTGTTTCAAATGCTCCGAGCCAAAATCCTGCTTTGATTTCAGCACAGACCTTTTTCGGCCAGTCCCCAGAAACCACAAAGAGTCCTCTTAGCAGGTGCCAACAGCTTGCAGCCTTCAGTGCTAGCTTCCACATTGATTTTCTGGGGAAGCCAGCAGGAAGATTGCAAATGGCGATCACATGATCACGGGCTGCTTGGCAACCAGTTGTGTGTCCGAATGGGTTGCCAAGCACCCATATCGCAATCAGGTGACCATGGGAGTGCTGCAATGGCCAGAACTTCAGCAGAAGTTGTAAGTCCTTTTGTTCAGCACCATTGTAATTTTGAATGGTTGCTGAACAATGGCCGTTAAGTGAGGACTACCTGTATATCTATGAATCTATGAACCTAAGAAAGAATCTGCTTGTATTTAAGTAATTCTATAACCCACAAAGTCTGCAAAATGCAGAACCAAAACATCACGTATTCCAGCCTTTGATATAACTCTTTTTGCAAGAGCCCTTGAGAACTTGAAAAATTCTGGCTGTGATTGATATAAATCCCTAGAAGGAATTTTTCAGACTATTTCGTTAATGTTAGACATTTTTTGGTTTCTTGGTATCATAACAAGAGAATGACTATACATATTGAAATAAATAATTAATAAATAAATAAGTTCTGTGAAAAGATAATTCCTCTTCACTGGAGATCTACAAATAGTGGATGAAATATTTTGATAGATTCTGAGCATTGAGCACAGTGGGTGACCTCCATAGATATAGCAATAGCAATAGCATTTAGACTTATATATCACTTCACAGTGCTTTACAGCCCTCTCTAAGCAGTTTACAGAGTCAGCATATTGCCCACAACAATCTGGGTCCTCATTTTACCGACCTTGGAAAGATGGAAGGCTGAGCAGTGGTGGTTTGCTCCCGGTTTGCATCGGTTCGCAAGAACTGGTAGCAAAAATTTGTAGTAGTTTGGAGAACCAGTAATAACATTGGCTGGCCATGCCCCTGAACTGGTCCCCGGCCCGGTCGCCACTCACTTACCCCACCCACCTCATCAGAGGCTTTTTTTTTTTACTTTTAAAAGCATTTTTTCTACAACCTCTTTGGCCGAAAAAATGCTTTTAAAAGTAAAAAAAAAAAAAAGCCTCTGATGATCGAGCGGCTCAGCTGGGATTGTCAAAGGCTTTTAAAAGCATTTTTTCTACAACCTCTTCAGCCAAAGAGGTTGTAGAAAAAAAAATGCCTTTAAAAGCATCTGGCGATCCCAGCTGAGTTGCCTGATCGTCAGAGGCTTCTAAAAGCATTTTTTCCATAACCTCTTCGGCCAAAGAGGTTGTAAGAAAAAAAATGCCTTTAAAAGCTTCTGGCGATCCTAGCTGAGTTGCCTGATCATCAGAGGCTTCTAAAAGCATTTTTTTCCTGCAACCTCTTAAGGTTGTAGAAAAAATGCTTTTAAAAGTAAAAAAAAAAGTTGGCCATGCCCACCCAATCACATTACCCCCCAAGCCACGCCCACAAAATAAGCCACGCCCACAGAACCAGTAGTAAAAAAATTTAGAACCCACTCCTGAGGCTGAGTCAACCTTGAGCGCGGTGAGATTCGAACTGCCAAATTGCAGACTGCTGGAAATCAACAGAAGTAGCCTGCGGTACTGCACTCTAACCACTGCAACACCATGTATCCATTCCTAATTAGGAGGAAACCAAAATGATGAAACATGCATTGTGAAGTCATGGCACAAACATATTTGTGCAGGTAAAGGGAAGTTTGCTTTGGAACATCATGTCACATATTTTGTCACTGCCTTCCTCCTTCCTAAGCTCTGAGGTTTCTTCCAACTTGGTGAGACTGATTTTATGGACTGAAAATCAATATCAGAATACAAGACTTGCGTGATGACAATCCCAGGATCAACCCAGGGCATCTACAAAGAGACTTGGGAAAGATCTCTGACTGGAATCTTAAACAACTGTGCCATTACTTTAAACCAGAATATCTGTGATGTTTGAATGTGTATTT